CCGGTAGTTCTATAAGCCCAATTGCACTTAAGGAGGTTCCAGCCCATTATCAAAGGCTTTAGCCGGCCCTGTTTTCTGATCTCTGCGAACTGCTTTGGCTCCTTCTTACCGATGCCTTCCATCTTTGCGCCATTCACTGCGTATCTTCTTCCTAAGGCAAGTTTCCATGTATGGCATCCGATCTTGGCCTATTTATTCCATACCTTGTCTTCGATTCTGGATAAGCCGAAACCCTTGTATCTCTGTTCAGCCTCTCTGTGGGTGCTCCGTTCGAACTGGCCGGAAATAGCCGCTGGTCGACGCCCCTCTCTCCCCTTGTTGACCCTAGAGTGTGAAATTCATCCTTTGTGGATGAAAGGGACCGAGACCTGAGCTGGATTCGAGTTCTAACAAGGCCCAAAAACAAGTTTAATTTTCAACAATATCATCCAAGCCTTATTCGTAAAAACTTTAATTAGAATATTTACACCTAGCCATCCAGGTTCGTATGTGCGAGCAATTGGAGACCCTGGAATAAAGGAACAAAATTCCAAATTTTCATTGGAGGCTCGAAACCTCTGCAACTAACACGGGTAAGAATCTCAAAAAATGGGTAGCCCCAGACTGGTTGATTGCACTGACCTTTCTTGCTCCGGTGATATAAGCACATGACAGATTCTCCCACAGGGGTGCAAATTTGAAGTACCTTAGAAGGTAAATGAATCGTGCTGGCGTTTTTTTACATCTGATTCTTTCTATCTGATTTGTTTGGATCTATCTAAATTGTTAAGCTATAGTTTCATTTGTACTGCATCTTTTAATCTGCTGTAATTCAATCTTTATGATCTTGTATGAATACTTGATTGAATCTTCATGATATTATGATCTTAGTTTAGTTTGGCTAGAAATCTAATGCGAAAGTTGAGCATGTAGATGATGTTGTGTTTTGTGAATTTATATTGCAATACAACTCGCAAAAAATATGTTTTGTAGATGATGTCGTGTAAATGATGTTATGTTCTGTGATTTGTGCACTTGCTTTTTTTGTTTTTTTGTTAACTATAGCTTTTTAATGTCTTTTTTATGTATTAGAGCATCACCATTTATAATCTTTAAAAATCAATATTTTCTAGTATTCTTACCTTTTAAATATTGTTACATAATTAATTTTTAAATAATCTCAAAATCCGTTTATGCCTCCCAACCATCATCTTCAAATAATCAGCTTTTTTCTCGATCCTACATTAACGTATTACATACATTTTTTAAATAATCTTAAGATAATCTGAATTCATATTTTGATACTGGATTATTCTAACAAATAATCTCATTAAATAATCTATGTCACTCAATGATAATTCTCTAAAAAAACTGCCATGTCACTAATTTGATCTCTTAATAATCCTAGCAATGAGGATGTCCTTAGACATTTATACATTATTTGCTTCAAGGTCCACCTTCTTTCATGTTTTGTCCTTTCTCTAATATTAATTAGCAATCATTTACGATACTCCCACAATGAGGAGGAAAATGTTGCAATAAAAAGCTATCAGATGCCATATAATGGGCCGCCTGATTTGCTGATATCGTTTATCAATAAACCAAAAGAAGACTCAGTTGGGGGCTTGGGGTTGATTGGATTCCTTGAACCAATTGTAAAGCGTCTGATTCCACGTCAACTTGGTCCCAACCTGCTACCTTAATCCAGCTGAGCGCCTCTCTCACCGATAAAGCCTTTCGGTAAGCATACACCTTTTCGAGGAATAGCAACCCAGGGCAACAATTCCTGCACCGCGGTTCACAGCAGCATAAGTATTCATTTTAATTCCGCCTGTATCTGGTTTTCTCCACCCGGAAGCATCCAAAGCTACTGATTCCTTACCTTTTGCTGCTGGTTGTGCTCTGCGCCAGCCTTCAAGAGAAGCTGACGCAAGAGTTTCTACGTGGACAATTGTAAAAGGCTTGCCTTTCCATAATTTTTCATTCTTGAATATTCCGTTGGAAAAATATACACAGTATGTACACAAATACACAATAATATAAACAATCTTTTAGCTACCGTAGGGTAAACGTTGAAATAAATGTTGCAGATTCTTGATTGCAGGTATATTCAGTGCCAAACAGTGTCACAACAGAGTACTCTACAGTAAAGTCAAATTTATTTCCTTAATTTGTGTGAAGTCAAAGTGTGAATTTCATTTGGAACCGGAGGGAGTATATTTTTACGGCAATAAAACATTCAAACATTTATTTCATTCAAAGAGGAGGAGAAATGAGATCTTAGATCCAATTACCTTAGCGTTAGGATTCAAATTTGATTTTTCTGATGCCAGTGAACTCAGAGATGAATTTTTTGATACTCCAGTAACAGCTGAGATGTTAAAATTAACAGATTGTGGTATTCCCCTAATCTTCTCACGGTTCTCAGCCTAAGAGTACTTGCAGTACCATTTTTTGATGACAGATTATTGTTATCAAATGGTTCACTTGTGGATGAAGATACCGAGGAGGCGGCCTTTCGATTCTCTCGCCCTTGCTTCTTCTCTTTCGTAGACGGTTGAAGACTTGAGGGAATCAGTCGCTTCATGGCTTTCGTAAAAGAAAATTGACAAAACTGGGTAGGAAGGACTTTTTTGCAATATTAAACGTTTTTTGAGTAAAGAACTGAGCTGGACCAAACTCCCAATGACATAGTGCCAAATGTCGGATGTACCAAAACATTCACCGATGTTGTTGCACCATAAAATTTTCCTTAGTAATATTAGAGTATTTTTCCCTATAAAAGAGTATAACAACTTTTATAGCTTTCAATTTTATATATTTCTGTATATATAGATTAACTTTTAGAATTGAGTCAACTTTTATACAAATAGCTCCTATGACTATCCTACACCCATTCACTTTCATCATGAAAAAAATCTCTGGTGACCGAAATATGTAAGAGGTAACTAATCAGCAGTAAAATTAAAATGTTAATCCTCACCAATCAATAGATTTCTTTGTTCCATCAAATTCTTTTGACTCAATCACTTGTTCTCTTACGATGTTTGGAGGCAAATTAGGGGTGTAAAACTGTGAATAGATGAAGTACTACTTATATAATGTCCGGATAAATATTGCCATCATTGGGAAATTCAAAGCACATTGAAACATTCTAGTCCAACTTCACATCTAACTCATTAATTTGGTCCAAAAGGTGGAATCTCCCACCCAAGAGCCTTCACCCTGACCCGACATGATGATGGAGGAGTTAATCACGGTGACTCAGTCAGCAAAGCAGCGGTAGGCCTTATACACGTGTGCACCAGAGGTCCAGCCTTATTTCAGGTTCTGTAACCTCCACACGGTCGCTGCGGGTATCGAACCTTGGTCACTTGATCCAATTTTCCCACCACTCGACCAACTGAGCTACCCGTGCAGGTATCTAACTCATTAATTAGATGTGTTCTCCGATGCATCTTGTATGGGGAACTTCGACGGCTACCTTTATAATCCATAGTTTTTATATTTAATTAACGATAATATTCATGTATGTGTGATGCATCTTCACGACATTATTGTGAAGACTTTTGGCGGGAACTTCTCAAGGAAATTCCTTTTGTTATTATATATTAATACATATTACTATTAAAATTAATGCAAAAGGCAAATATACAATCTCATTAAATTAAGAGAGGAAGTCAGCTATCAACTGAGCCGGATGGCTTCCTCATTTTAATGTTCAATAATAATCTAAATGTCTAATTCTAACTTCTATCAAGACAGCCAACTTTCTCATGTGTAAACTATGGTAAACCGTATACCGAAAACGAATATAATAATGGGAGAGATGGATGCGAGAGTATTGACCAAAGTTTTTGATATGCTATTAGCAACATGCCAACATGTACGTACATATTATGACAATTGATATACTCCGTATAAGCTTGATGCTTCCAATCAACAGTTATGAATAAACAAACCAAAATTGGCCTAGGCAAATCATATCATCTTAAAGATTTTAGGATGGAATTTAACAAGATAGCTTTTAGGCTATGGCAAGCACAAGTGTCTTCTAGCTTTTTCATTATTTAAAAAGTCTCAAAAAGCTTTTAGTTGTGTGTTTGGCATGACAATTTTTAAGAGCTTTTCAAAAATTAAAAAATCTTTTTTGAGATGCTACAAGGAGTAGTATCTGAGATTATAGGGGTGGACTCGGGCCGGGCCAACCGGCCCGGAACCGGACCGGCCCGCTACTGTGCAGGCCCAGACCGACCCGGTGAACCGGTTGGTTGGCCGGTTCGGGCCACCCGGCCCGATGGGATCTCGGTTCAGGCTCGGGCCCTTCAAAAGGTGAACCGGCCCGGCAGGTTCGGGCTCGGGCTGGGCCATTTTTTTTTTTGAATTTTTTTTAAGTTTTTGGGTTGGGCTGGGTATTTTGAGCCATTTGAGGTGGTTAGGGTTGGTTTGGGGGTGAGGGGGAGGGTTAGGGGTTAACTAGGAAAAACCAAAAAAAAAAAAAAATAGAACCGAGGCCCGGCCCGGCCCGGACCCGGGGGTTACCCGGACCGGTTCTGGGCCTCCCATACCTTGAACCGAGGCCCGGCCGGTTCAAGGCCCGAACCGGGCCCGTCCTGAACCGAGTCCGTCCCTATCTGAGAAAAGCCCGACCGTGACTTTTAGTACTCCCTACGTTCCCAAAAATACTTCCCACTTTCCTTTTTGGGCTGTTCCCAAAAATACTTCCCACTTTCCCATTTTGGAAAATTTGTGTGGCTCACATTCATTTTACCTTTTCCTTACACAACCACAATCATACTTTTCCACTTTATTCCACTTTCTTAATAAGCGTGCCAAGTCAAACCGGGAAGAATTTTTAGGAACGGAGGGAGTATTAATTAATCCTAACAGCTTGTATACCAAACCGAACTAAATCAAACAGTCAGCTTTGTACCAAATAGGTGGTTACCGAACTAAATCAAACAGTCAGTTTTTTCCTAATAAACATCTACCACCTTTTCTTTTTAAGATCTATTTAGTCACTAAAAGCTAGTAGTTATTAAAAAGCTCACAAAAATATCTTTTCAGTTAGTTGTGACAAACATACCCTTACTAATACATAAAATAATAAGAAGTAATGTTACAACCAATAACATTCTATTTGGAGCTTAAAGTAAACATGGTCATTACACACTCCTTAATTACGTAGTATTATTCCAATTAAGAAGGGTACGAGGTATTTATTGAAGTAAATTAACAACTAGAGGAAGTCAATTAGTTAAAATTCATTGGGTACTTGAGGAAGGCTCTTGGACTAAAGAGACCAAAATGCTGCTCAATGCCCGGAGGCTGTTTGAGATCTTCATCAAACATAGCAAATATGTAAGTCTCAATTGGCTGGTTTGGTCTTTTGGGCGTTCCCTTCTTCACAATCTGAACCAAATTATTGTTATATGTCATTGCATTGTCAGCATTTGCCGGGGACGGCGCTCCGGCGTTCCCAGTCGGCGAGTAGTGTGGCCCTCCACCGCCGTTACTCGGCCACCCCGACTCTCCTCCCTTCACCGCCGGAACGTACTTCCCGCCGGCCTTCACATCGCCGTATAACGGGGAAGACGACGCTGTCCCCGCAACATTTAGAACCTTCTCCATCGCCGCATACATGGCATCGACAAGCGCGTAGTAAAGATTGTCGTAGTAAACGCCGCCGGCAACGACGCCTCTGTTCGGCTGAAGCAGAGCGTACTGGAGGTTGATCTTGCCGGGGTTTTCGACGTAAGAGAAGTACGGGTATATGCTGACGAATAACGGCGACCCATTATCCGACAAAAACTGTATGATGGGCGCCAAGTACCGGACGACGTCGGGCCGGAAAGTGCTGTTCTGGGGAGGAAAGGAGTTTCCCAGAACGCCGGTGTCGACGCCGGTGGTGACTTTGATCTGCGGGGAGAGGCCGGCGGCGGTGATGGCGGTCTGTACGTTGCGCAAAGCGGGGAGTACGAAAGAGGTGTACTGGCTGTTCTTGATGGGGGAGATTTCGTTGCCGACGACGATGTGTTTGATTTTGACGGCGGGGAAGTAGTTGCAGACGTTGACCTGGACCCACTGGTTGGCGTTGACTTGGCTGGCGGCGACGTACTGGAGGTCGTTAATGTTGGGGACGCTCATGGTGAGCTCGATGTTGGAGCCTCGGAGGGCGTCGAGGGTTGGGTGGTGTGGTTCATAAATTCGCATTCTTTGGATGTTGTTTCGCTTGTATAAGCCCACCACCGCTGCCGGAGGTGGCAGATTGTCGCCGTTTCTTCCATAGTAAACTCCGATCTGTCCCACTGTAAAAATATTCACAATTACGTAATTAGTAAGTGAGGTTGAAATTGGAAAATTCTTGGACTAAACAACTTGGGAATACTTTCTAGAGAAATTGCCATTAGTACGTATGACTCAAATTTAATGTGTTTCCCAAAAATGACTTCTATCTTTTTTCTTCTCAATATTAGAGTGTTTCGTATGTATAAAATTAATATTTAATCATATTTTGGGATGTACAAAAGTAGTAGTCATATATTCTGAAATTGTCAATGTTTTAGTCATATATTATTAGTAAATATCCCATTATTAGTGGGCAACACGACATTAACCGGATGTGTATTTCTAGCTATTTAAATGCAAGAGCACCACATGATTGCCATTAATATGAAAGCAATTTCCAGTTCATTCTTTTATTTTATACTTTTTGAAAAAGTGAAAGTCGAATGTGGATATTCATCTAGTATTATTATATACTAGCTCCTTTTCACTACTATGGGAACAAAAACAAGTGACATGGTTATTAAGAAAAGTGAGTTTATGTGGTTGAATTAATTGATAAATTAAGAATAATGTAAAAATCATTTAGAGTCACATAAACTTACCAAATTTGATATGGAACGCACCATTTTAGAGGGATTTCTTGAAAAGTTAAAATAAGACAATATATATTACCTGTGAGATGGAGGGACGCCATTAAAGCTATGAGCATTATTGTTCCATTCACCAACTGAGTTGGTGTGGTGGTAGCCATGACGACGACGGAATATAATTATTGAAAACTACAATATAATACTACAACTTATTACTTCAATTAAATTGAAGTGGTAGCACTTATTTCAATTCCCACAACTTACTTACCCCTTTTTATAGGGAGTCAATGGTTAAGGAAAACAGTACGTGAAAGTTCGAGTTAACATACCAAGTGGAGTACGTAGAATATTCGTACCATAAATTGTACGATAAATAATTGTAGATTCAAATTTGCTTCCATTGGTACTTTCGCAGTCCTTTACCGTGTTCACGCACCAAAAGTGGTCTGCTTGCGATAGCTTAAAAAACATTAAAATTTGTGTTTCCAAGTGACATCTTCAATTTAAAAAGTGTTTCTCAGCTTTTGTCTGAAAAGTTTTTTTTACTTTTTCTACTTCCTCCATCCTAAATTGTAGGTTTACGATGTTTGACCGACGATAAAGTAAACGGATTCTTGTCCGCACTCAAATTATTTTTAGAAAAAAAGAATCACAGATTAAAATTGATTTGTGTTGACCAAGTGAATACGAAAAGTATCTTACAAAATGGGATTGAGGGAGAATTACACAAAAAACACTTATTTTAATAAACAATACCAACTTTTACTTTTTAAAATCACTTTTTTCTCAAACACTATCAACTTTTACTACTAATCACTTTTTCCAAAATCAGTTTAAAAGTATTTTTTAAAGCAAAATCAGTTGCAAACACTCTCTTAGGGGCGCCTACTTGCCTAGGCATGAGGACGGAAAAACGCATCTTATGGCATAAAAACGTGGAAAAGTGGACCCGCATGGGTAGCTCAGTTGGTCGAGTGGTGGGAAAATTGGACCAAATGATCAAGGTTCGAAACCCGCAGCGGCCGTGTGGAGGTTACAGAACATGAAATAAGGCAGGACCTCTGGTGCGCACGTGGAAAAGTGGACCCACACGGATAGCTCACTGAATCACCGTGATTAACCTCCCCACCATCGAATCCTGTCGGGGGCCTTGGGGTTGGGTATTCAACCTTTTGGACCAAACGTGGAAAAGCCGTGAACCGAATAGTTGATCATTACAGAGGTGAAAAAGCGAAAGAATAAGCATGCCTAGATGTGAAAAGGCACAATTTTTTTAGGTGAAATATGTTCTTAAAAAATACGTAGTAATTGATTCAATTTAGACAGATTTCCTAAAATAGGAGTAAATGAAGTTTGAAATTCCAAAATAGAACTACTTTGTTTTTATTCCCGAAATGGGACTAACATGGCAGTATTTACTGCCAAATAGTTCCAGTACAGTGCATTTAACATGACAATATTTATTATAATTAATGACTTTATTTTTCAATCATGACAGTATTTTTCTTACATGATAGTAATAACTCCTATTTCGGGAAGAAAAACATACTAGTCCTAATTTTGGAATTCCAAATGTCATTTTCTCCTATTTTGGGTAATTTCCCTTAAATTTAATCATAAGAAATACTTTCATAAACATGTAATATATGAAACAAATAGTACAGAATAGTAAATAGAAACAATATATTATTTTGTATTGGCACTTTTAATACATCATAAAATTATATATATATATTGAGCAAAGTAAGGATTGGGCTCAATTTTGTTCGATACTACGTAGTAATTATTAATAGAAATCCAGAACGCCTTTTCACACTTAGCTTATTCACGCATATGCTTCAAAGGCTCGAGACTTGAAATAATCACGCCTCATGCCTTTTAGAAAACTAATCCTGTACAAAAAATATATATTGGGAATCAGTAGCATGCAGCTAGAGTCGCGCCTTCCTTTAGGCTGGAGAGACTTCCTTAGCTAGGGCCCCAAAAAATCAAAAAATTAGGGCCCCAAATTATGACTATGTTGACTGTTGGGCTTAAATCATCCGCTACAGAAGTAAAAACCAGAGGAACAATAGAGTTATCAACCAAGTAGTGAAGTACAAACCCCAACTCCCGAATTCGTTGATACACTTTTCCGAAAAAAATCTAAGTTTAATTTTGATTTACTAATTTGATGAATTATTGATTTTTAAATGACCGAATGAACTGTCTGTCTAACTTGGTAATTTATATTTTCAAATTGATATTATTATTGACTACATTTTCTATTATTGATTGGGATATAGAGTATTTACATTAAAAATGGTATATATTTACATATTTAAACCAAGTCGATTCTTACATATTTTACGAAGTAGTCAAGTTGGGCCGTGCCTTGGTGAAATTTTTATATTTGAGAATGAGATCAATTTTTTATTCATGTTTATAAAGATTAAAAATTGTCGAAATTTTCAATTCACAATTGATCAAACTATGTGTTTTGTATTTAGTTTGTACAAAATACAGAAAACATAAAATACATCATTGTTTAAAGTATTCTTTACCAGAAGAAATAAAATACGTGATCGAAGAGAGCCTTTCCCCTTAGGAATCTTAACTGCTTCAAGGTGGGTTCCCTTTATAAAGGGGTGAAAATCCCTTGGGTTTTCCGGTGTGGGATAAAACACACTAGAAATCCATCATCTTCCTAGTTTTCTCCATTTCAACGAGTGAACTTCGAGAATCAATTTCTCATTCACCCATTATCTGTTTTGAGTGTAGCACATATCGAAGTGTAGCCCTTAGCAAGGACAATCCGAAACCACTTTGACCCGACCCGAATCGGAAGTGGACCCCACTCAAACAATTGCCCCAAAATGACAATTTAATGCAATTTATTAACACATTTTCCAACAATCCTCCACATGAATGAAAATTGATTTTCAAGACTTAAAAAAGACACGAAGATAGGAGGACACGTTGTGTTCACCGGATGATCGCTATATTCGGAGAGGTAGGTTTTATCCTTTGAACCTTCCGCTGTAAAGACACGTTTATTTACTGGTTGTCTAGTAGACGCGATGTTCTTGAACTATACTGCCGCCATGTAAACATTGACCTATCTTTACACAGAAACCTTCCATCTTTGTTCCGTTCTCATGGGTCTGCCCGTTTTGGCCATGGGTAACCGTCCTGGTTCTGCAATAGAGTCTAAAGAAATGAGTCTATACAGTTCTCCTTTGAAGCGACCCTCTTCTCTCTCACATAGGTGATTCTTTCATGAGTATCCCGCATACTCTTCCAATGTTATCGAGTAGATCAACATTTCAGAATCATTAAAGCAAACATTTTTGCTAAACTCGTGTGGGTCACTATTTCAACGAGGAGTGAGTAGGAGTCCGGGACCCCCACAGTGACCATCCTTCGCTCTATAATTTAGTTGTCTCTTTTGAACATAGGACCAACTAGGTTGGGTATTCACAATAGAACTTTTCAATTCACGGGCTTTAGTCCCATTCCTCACGACAACTTCTCCAACAATTCTCTATCCAATGCTTTGGTTAGCGGATCCGCTATGTTATCCTTTGACTTAAGTAGTCAACAGTGATAACACCCGTTGTGAGGAGTTGTTTAATGGTGTTATGTCTACGACGAACATGTCTAGACTTACCATTGTACATATTGCTCTGTACCCTTCCAATTGCCGCTTGACAATCGCAATGTATGCATATTGGAGGGACAAGCTTTTCCCAACTTGGAATATCCTCGGGAAAATGGCGTAGCCATTCAGCCTCTTCAGTGCACTTATCAAAGTTATTAGCTCAGATTCCATCGTGGATCTAGCTATTATCGTTTGTTTCGAAGATTTCCATGACACAGCTGCACCTCCCAAAGTGAAAACATACCCACTTGTGGACTTTGAGTCCATAATGTCGGATATCCAACTAGCGTCGCTATATGACGTGCACTCGTCGTTAGGTGCACTCAAAATAAATAATCAATACAACACAAATACGTAGTATAGTGCAGTAAGGTTCGTATCCACAGGGAAAGGAATACTTTTCTTTTATAAAAGTAGTAACAAAAAGGGGGGTTTAGATTTGTTTGTTTTAACAACACTAAGATAAACAACCTATATGAGTTTAATGCAATGAGATGAAGACTTGGTCTTGCTTTTATCCACTTAATGAAATGTTCGTCGATCCCGGTTATATCTTTAACTATCTTCCTCTCGAATACTCAATCGAGGAGTATATCCAGTTCATCGAGGGTAGTTATTAATAACGAGATGCGTTCATTAATAAAACTTACTATCGAGTCAATATAGAACAAGCGCCGTATATTAACTTGATAGTAGCAATAAACTTAAGATGAAAACGATTGAGATTGATAACCTCAACACAAGCGGTTTATTGGTTTAATCAATATAATTAATTCCCCTTGGCATATTAACCATGAGATGCATGCATTAATATTCCAAGTTTACTACCGTTGAAAGAACCGGATTAATAACAAGCGTATTAACCGATTGATTCTAGTAATAATTAATATGAGAAACAATACTAGTTGATACTTTAAGTAATGTTTAAGATATTAACATGAAATATGAATAGGAATTAATTAATACTCAAGGAAGAATATTAAAATATATGAATCCTACTATGATTAATATCAAGATGTTAACTAATTGTCATCTTAGTAACACTCCCCGATATTATCATAGAGGAAGAAATAGCTATTACCATAACCAATGTCAAGATGTTAACTAATTGTCATCTTAGTAACACTCCCCAACTTTGATATAGAGATAGTATTTTGAAAGAAAGAATTAATATTCAAGGAAGAAGATTAGAGAAAAATAACTCACAACTTACAAATTCATTAAGCTTCAAAGTAGCAAAACCAAGATGGAAGAGTTTAGCTCCTCATTTGGAGACTAAACATGATGAAAAATATAAAGAAAGAGCTATTCTATACTGAGCTTAGATGTACAAAGGGATTGGATCCTTTTTTGTGAAGGAAAGGAGGTGTATTTATAGGTTTTTGGGATGGGATTCGGGTACTCGATCGGGTATATACATGGTACCCGATCGAGTATGTGTGTAACACCCGATCCGAGGCATACTCGACCGGTTTCAGGTTATTTTCTAAGTGTATACCCGATCGAGTATATATGAATACCCGGTCGAGTATGCTTAGAAAGTGGTATTCGGGCTATACTCGACCGATCTTCGTTTGCAATTTAAAGGCATACCCGATCGGGTATGTCGGTCTACCCGATCGGG